CAGGAGTCTGTTTGGGGTGGTTTTTTTTTTTTTTTAAATGGAGCTTCATGTAACTTCAAAAAATTACGTTTTTAATAACGTCTTCTGCTAGTGCATGATCCTTTTATTATAGGCAGAGTTTCATACCCAATTAGTTTGCTTAAGATAAAAGCGCATTTTATTAATAATAGCTGTGATTTTTGAAAGTTTAATACTGAAGCAACATGATACAGGCATTCTGAAATGCATTTAACAAACAAAATTGTGGGCTACATCTATTAACAGTTATATTAATTGACTTCTTTATAGATTTGCGGATGACTACAGAGTTGCTTTACAACAAACATATGTTTGGACAAATGAAACCCAACTTGATATTTCAGATAGAAATGGCTTCTTTCCACGACCAAAGCATAAGCGGAGTTCGAGGCAGAAAACTCCAGTCCACATGCTTCACTTTTGGTGCTTGAATCCAGCTGTGGTAAGCTGTGTGTGAAATAAAACTGCTATATAACTAGCTTAATTTGATCACAAATGTACACATAGTAGTCTTAAAGATTGTACTGATTTTCTTAATGTTTTCCCTCCAGGCCTTTTCAGACTTAAGTGATAATGTTAGGACAATTGTCCTAACATCGGGTACACTCTCTCCAATGGACTCATTTTCTTCAGAACTTGGTGTAAAATTTTCCATCCAGCTTGAGGCAAATCATGTTATTTCGAACTCACAGGTAAATGTTTGTGATTATAGTTCTCTCTCCTGAAATTATAACATTGTCTATTATGAAATTAGTGGAGTATTAGTTATTTATGGACATTTACTTGTATGAATAAAGATGTCACTTAAATAAAAATATCCTGAAAAATTGTAGTCCTATATGAAAGGAAGTAAGAAGGTGGTATTTCATCGGTACAGCTGAAAATAAATGCTTTTGATAACAGCACATGCTGCTTTAGTATCGTAATCCTTTTTTCTTTTCCTCTTACTTTTTGTTTGTTTGTTTGTTTTTAGCATGAATCTGCCTAGAAATACTTTAATATTTGGCATCAGGTTTTTTTAAGTTTCCCTGTTAACTTGATATAAGCATAAAAATATAACACTGAAATATTAATACAACAGGTTTGGGTTGGTACCATTGGAGCAGGCCCCAGCGGTCGGAAGTTATGTGCCACATTCCAACATGCAGAGACTTTTGAATTCCAGGACGAAGTGGGAGCACTTCTGCTTTCAGTATGTCATACTGTTGGCCAAGGGGTTTTGTGCTTTCTGCCATCTTACAAGGTAAGGAAATCTTAATTCATGTTCTCTCCTCTTAAAACCTATTTGAAGGTTTATTGTGGCCTTATGTCCCTGTGGCTGCAAACAAACATCACCTTTGTGCTACCATAAACATTTTTATGGTGATACAAAGCCCAAGCAAACAGACATCCATACAGCTTTTTGTGCCACAGATGCCCAAAACGATGACTGCAGCAATAGGTGGTAAAAAAATGGTGCTGCTTTTTTGTGTGTGGCAGATGTCTGCCTTATGGCAGAAGCAGCCTGGAGCTACCCCACTCTCCAGCTGTCCTGAGTAGGTGCTTCTGGGAATTCAGGGCCCAATTCCTGCAGGGTAATTCCTGTGGCATACAGGATCAGGTCCCAGAAACGCCAGGAGTGCAGAGGCATGCCCCAGGGTTTCCCAGCATATCATGCTGCTATACCCTGCCCTAAAACGATGGGTAATGTCTGTGTCGCCTGGTGAAGCAGATCAGCTGTGTTGGGATACATCCAGGGACATGCCTGTTTACAGTCTATACACTGTGCAGATGCCTGTTGGAATTGCTTGGATTCTGTAGCTCAGGGGCAGGCAAAGTCTGGCCTGTGGGCTGGATCTGGTTGGCAGTGGATTCCATTTTCCAGCCGCCCTAGCACATGGCTGGGGCCGGTCTTCGTGGAGACCCCAGCCGCAGCTGTGCTATGAAAGCTCAAGACTGGGGTTGCCGTGGAGACTTGCCCCAGCCGGGCTGGCAGGGCATGCAGCAGAGCAGGGCAGAGAGCTGCTCTGGAGCTGCTGGGATCTCGCAATGGGGGCAGCTTGCTCCAGAACCACAGCAGAGCTGCAGTCTGTAGCCTGCATGCTCTGGGCAGGGGTGCGCAGGCAGGGGATCACAGCTTTCAGCGGTGACAGCCTGGTCTGGAGCAGGAGCAGAGCCACGATCCCTTGCCTGTGCACCCCTGCCCAGAGCATGCAGGCAACAGATTTCAGCTCTGTCCTGGCTCTGGAGCAAGCTGCCCCCATCGTGAGATCCCAGCGGCAGCAGGGCAGCCCCCTGCCCTGCTCTGCTGCGCCCTGCCAGCACTGCCGGGGCTGATCTCCATGGCAACCCCAGCCTTGAGCTTTCACAGCACAGCTGCTCCGTGGAGACCGGCCCCAGCCATGCAGGTGAGGGCTGCTGGGAAATGCAGTCTGGCTGCTGGCTGGATTGGCCATTTTGCTCACCCCTGCTGCAGCTGATTGCCTGAAAACAAGTTTGTAAACCAAGGTATATGTTGTTCCAAAAAAGGACATTTTGGTATATGAACCAAAGTGTGCTTTCTGTGTTCTTAGCATCTACTAGAAAGGATTCATAGTACAAAAGTAGTGTGGAGAAAGTTTGCATATTTAGTGCTTCCTTTAGAACTGTTCCTATGGATCTAACATTTTTTTTTAAAAACAGCTTTTAAGGAACTCCTGCCATTCAGTTGCCTACCATAAAAGGCAACTTTGCTGTGTGTAAATAGTGATTCTTTTGACTATTTGGTGAATATTATATGTAATACATGGTACTCCCATTTTTCCTGACTTTGGTTATTGTTGAATTTCACAGCACTATGAATGCTAGTTGTGTTTTCTTGTGTCATGTGGAAACTGCACAGTGCCTGCTGTCCCAGGAGATCAATTCTCTCTATTACAAAGCATATATTACCAAATTTGGTTGCTGATAGGTGGCTCTTTAATAATGGCAAAGGCTGTAACTTCGTAATAAACTAACTCAGATCTGAGAAACAAGAGCATAAGCCTGCAGTATAAAATCTTAAGTACAGACCTGTTTTTCTTATCAAACTCTGACAATGTCTGGATTGCAACAGGCGATTTTGTAAAATTAACAGTGGTCTAATAGAAACTGTTCCTAACAGTCAAAGCTGCTAGCATTGATGAAAGTGCAGCAGTCTGGAGCCTACTTAGCCAGTGTAAGTTTTTTGACCACTTTGCTAATCTTAGAAGTCCCTCAAAAAGAGTAATTTTTAAACCTGAAGGAATAGATAAAATAGATATCTTTGTTTCAGACACTACCAACATTAAATACATTTGTTGGCTGAAGAATATATCAGGTCCTCTGTTGCTTGGTGTCTATTTAAAACCCCCCCCAAAAAACAGCTATTGATGCAGTTACCGACAGCAACCATTAGGTGACCGCATTAGACCATACAATACAGAATTGGTAGAAAAAGGGACACTATCAAATCTAAATAACCCATCATTCTAATTCATAAAATATGTATACATTAAATATGCAAAACCAGCAGTCTCCAGATAAATATGAAATTGAATTTCTCTTGTGGCTGAAATTGAAATCCAAACTCTCTCCCTTTTGATACACTTCCATAGAACAGCAGTGGGGATAATGCTACATGTTATGCAGTGTAGCAATCATTTTTCTGTGTATAAACAGTTTTAAAATTTTTTTTTGCAAGTTGCTGTTATGAAATGATACTTGCCTGACCTGAAAGTGCTTAGAGACATTGTGATTAGTGTTGTAACTGGCATTTAATAAAGAATGAAAGAAAATGGTGAACAAGTCAGGTGTCCACCCTCACCCCCCTTGCCATTATGCTTCACTGAAAGGCTGACGGGGGGGGAAAAAACCCCACAGTGGTGAAGGGACCGATGAATGTAAACTCCAGATAACTGAAAAGCGATATTTTCAAATCGCATTTCCAGTGTTTCTCTTCTCTTTATTCTGCACTGGGCTGTCTTGCATGAATGAGAAGTAATTGGGTCAAAATGCAACTGTCTCTTGGGAGAGATTCCTTTGGAAGTTTCTTCTCCATCCAAAGGCCAATATTCCCTTGTAAAATGTTCCTTTAAAATAGGTATTGATAATCTATGAGAGATTTACCCAACCATGTTAGAATAATTTTAATGTACATAAAATTCTCAGCCCAACTACTTCACATTAATCCATGTAGGAAAATGATTTTAAAATAAGCTGAGAGAAGATATTTTCCCAAGACTATAACGTGAGCTGTCTTTTTCTCTTATCCTCCCAGCATGTCCCTTCATATTGTTTACTGAACCAACGTATAAAAAAATAGGTGTTATATACTTTTATAACTCAGTTAAATTATTTTCAACATTAAATCCTTGTAATTTGAGCTCGTAGTATTAAGTTAAAGGATCCTTATTCCTTCTATGAATAACTTCTTCAGATGAGTTGCAAGTCATCAGTAGTATCTTGAAAACTCGGTACAATTTGGCAAATAACTGGTATTATTCTGATTCTGCATTTTCAGTGATTGATCATTATAGTAGTAGAGAACACATTATATTGTTTTTCAAACAATATGGAAATATATTGTTTTTTCAAATAAAGGAAATCTGATGGAAACTACTTTTATATTTAGTAGTTGAAATCTTTCAGACATGGGATTTTGCTGTTTGCTCAGTTGTAAAGAGTAGAAATTGAGGAGTTCAGAATAAGTCTTCAATCTTCAGCATATAGACATTCAATATACTTAGTTTCATTGAATTTCTTGTTTTTGTCAACTGTCCCTTTTGCTATTAATTATGATCTCATAAATTTTGGAAGTTCATCATCCTGGACTGGCAAACAAAACGATTCCCAAATTCCTGTCTATGAGGTGTGCAACTGTTGTTCATGGAATAGACCACATGACATGCCTCGTTCAATGGAAATGGCCTTTTTAAATGTTTACGGTAGGTAAAGTGCAACTCCCTGGAGAAATATACCTGCAGTGATATTCCCCTGTTCCATCAGCTCCATTGCCACCTTCTCCAGACATATCCCCAGCTGACTAGTTCCCATCCGAGTTTCAGAGAAAATATGCCATCAGACTGATAGCAGTGCAGCCTACATTGTTTCACTATTACTCATCCTAACTTCTTTCTTTCCTGAGAGATGTGCTTTTAGAAAACTAATTAGAAAGATAATTAGAAAGATAAAGGGTGAAAAGGAGCGGTAACAAAGTAGAAACCTACTTTAACATGCACAAGTGAGGGTTCTGGGCAGAAGAGAAAATTGCCCAAGATCTCTCCCTGAGAGGAAGGAATGGAAACAGAACCACTCGACTGCAGCTGCTATCCACTGCCTGCTTGGGTCTGCAGGTGCATTGATAATACCTTGTGAGTTGTTCCCTTAAAGTATGCTGCATGAGCTAAAGCGCTATGTGTACACCTCCAGTTTAATTGTCATCCTGCACCAGCCCAGCATTTGCACCATGCTGTAGTGCAAAAGCAGAGCTGAAAGGGTTAAAAAAAAAAAAACAAGTTAAAAAAAAAAACAAACAAAAACCCAAAACCAGAGAATTCTGGTTAATCATGGAGCTGCTTTGTCCATGTACCTATAAAGGCAGATTCAGAATACACACCTAAGACGGATATATGTAAGTGTGTTTATTATGTTGTAAAATATACTAGATTCCTGAGCCTCTCTAGGGAAGAAGCCCCATTTGATTTCCAGTAGCAAAATAATTCACCATCTAAATATGAAATTTGATAAGTTGCGAATGTCAAGTCCTTGGACTCCTCGGATCCCTTTTTAACTAATAAAAAGGGGGTGTACAAATACACACACAATACAAATTATCTTCTTTCTTTGAATTCCATCCTGCACCTTTATTCATGGCACGGATGCTCTGTCTTCTACATCTCTTGCTCCTGTACTGTGATTCTTTTTAACAAAGTAACTCAAATCACTTAGAAATAAGTGAGCCCATAGTCTCTGTTACTGGTAGGGATATGCAGGCAGATGATTAAGTAATCATGGACTGTTGCTTGAAATTTTCTTCAAAAAATGTTTAAACGATTTGGAATCAAGTTGTAGATATTGTTAATCCTACTGCATTGTTATTACTACTACTACTACTACTGTTTTTTCCTTAATACCCTCTTTCACCTTACTGTTTTATTCACTGATGGGATCTTATGTTTTGATTCCCCCCCCCCGCCCAAAGGCTGTGACTATTTATATGTTTGTTAAACGCTGAACACAGCAAATCCCAATGTTGATGATGCCTTT